TCTGTAACAATATGCGTTTTGTACTGCTGTTACACAGCACATAACGCATAAAAAGGATAGACAAATCTCTCACAGCTGACACTAGTGACGAAGCCAAAATTAATCAGCAACAGCAAAATACCTGCCCAAAGCCACTAAGATGACTGAAGTGCAAATACTCGACCAACTCAAACCACTCTCAGGTGCTTGTCTCTAATTCGGCCCCTACCCCTGTTCCCCTCCATATACACAGACTATTTAGCTACAGTCTGATGATGTGAGTTTTTTAAGCTTATGCAAACGAACAAAAAACGATAGGCCACGTCCTGCCCGTGTAACCCTTTTCTGTTATCCATTTCCAAATTAGCGACCAAACAACTCAGAAACTAACTTTGTAGTCATCCAAATTTTAATTATCAGCCTTTAAAATTCGCTGTATCTTAAGCTATAACCTCAGGCAAATGAGGATTTAAATTTGAGTTGTTTGAACGAAATTGTGCAGAAAAGGCGCCTTGATTAACACTTACTGGAATCAAGCCGGTATTATTAACATTTGGGAAACTCTGTTCTCGCAGCTTTACAAAAACAGGCTAATCTCCCTCATTTCTAGCAATGTACAGCATGTTTATTATGAGTTGCCATGTGCAGAAACAAGTCAAGTGATAGTGGTTACTGAGCATTTCTCATACAGCAAATTGCACAGAATTTCATCAAAAAAACACCGCTCTGACCTGGAATAGTGCCAATGGTAACTTCCGGTTGACCAAACATGGCCTTCTCACCGGCGTAAATGATATCACACATCATGGCCAATTCGCAACCACCACCCAGAGCATGCCCATTCACCGCGGCAATAACAGGCTTCCTCATCTTTGACACCTGTGACCACGCTTGCAGCAAACTGCCGGATAAAGCCGTTGCAAGCTCGGTTCCACGAAGCTCCTTGATATCGGCGCCAGCTGCATTCCGCATAACGTTTAAAGTCTGTCAGCTTCATTTGCGTATATTCGTGCAGTTTTCAACATATCAATTGAAATCAATGAAGGTTATGAAGTCACTTGTTCGTGAAATTCCGCGGTGCGGGATATGGGGATTCCTGTACACATTTCCTCCTACGCTGATTATCCATACAGAGAAGATTACTGGAAAGTAAGAATTGGAGAGGATAAGTTATCGGCGAGACAGCTTTTCTGTTGAGGAAAATGAAACGAGCAAAGAAATGGGCACAGCGATCAACAAGAGTCTGATCACCAGATAATACAACATCGGTCCCATCAAACATCGACAGGATGCCAGATGCGTCAAAGCTGTGAAGATATGCCGCGATAAAACGATAGCTCATTGATAAAAGTATCAAAGGTGTCGTGGAAATTTTAAGAATACAAACAGCGAATTCCGTGGCTGGGAGGTTGGAAGAAAGCTTAAAATCGTCTACGTATTAACATGTGCAGTTGATTTAGCGTTGCTAGCCCATCGTGGAGAGGGAGTGATTGAAACAGTTATTTATACTAATTCATTAACAAAGGCCTTTTTAACGAAAAGTAAAAAATGCTTCATGAATTCAATTTGGCTTTTACTTTGTAAAATACCTCATTAATTGCAACGGTCCGGATAAGGTGGCGATTTTCGCAACAAATACCAATTACAATATGAAAAGACTAAAACCCTGCTAAGTACTTCTGTCAGAAGAATCGCTGAGAGCTTTTATGACTTTCTGCCGAATGATTAACACAGCAAATAACGCAAAAAAATATGCCAGAAACAAACAGGCAGTAACAAACCGGCGAACGCTCGAGTGGAACCCGTTAGTACCACTGCTCCCAGCGAACTATCTTCATCGTACGCTATCAGTGCCTCCGAGAGCTACAAATACAGAACATTTATTTTACAGTTCAATAAAAGGATTATTCACAAAAAAAGGTCTTGTCTTTAATCTTTACTTATTTTACTTTTTAATACCAAAACTGGAGTACTGACGAAGTCCAAGGAATGTATACGACTTAATGGACTGAAAAATTCCTGTTTAGCTGTTCTGCTTAAATTATTTTTATTAATAATTTTTTCTCACCCATTTTTCTACAATACACGGATCGTATTTATTATTATTTTTTTCGCTTCTAGATAAACCATCTTTATTGCACCTATTTTCCTTTGAAACAATATAAATTATTTTAAATCATCATCCACTCACTTACTCGACAGTATCTAGAACTTTGTTGAAGTCGTCAATTTTACGTCCTAAACAAACAATCCCTCCAAGTAATTCCATTTACAAAGAAGAATTTTTCGTGTCATTTTCACAAAATCCATCTCTCCCAGTAACAGCTTTAAGTTCGGTTTGTGTTTACAGCTAAGGGATGAATCACAGACTGTACCCTAAAATGTTTTCTGACACATGATACTTGCACTGATCCCTTATCTCCTTTTCTGTTATTCACAAAATACTTGAATAAAATGTGTTCTTTTCCACGGAAATTTTTACGGATTTGTGGCTGGTAGTATGTCTTGAAGCTCATGCACTTACTTCTCGCATCAACTCATCGCACAAAGCATTGAGTGCCTTTGGCCTGTTCAACGTGATTAAGCCAACATTCTTCTTTTCGCCCACTTTCTCCGCTTTGATCATTTTCATTGTTCCTGCAACAAGCCCCCCTCTTCAGTAGGATGGCGATGTTCCATGCCTCACCGATGCATTTTGCAGTATCCGTACTCCACGCAATCAGGATCTTTCACCTTGTCCCTCTTGTCCGTCCATCACAGCTCCAGTCCAATTCTGGGCTGATTTTAGGCGACTAATTTTCCAGAAATCAAATGCTTTTCAGTTCTATGAGATTCAGAAATCAGTTCTGTGGTGCTGGTGGCAAAATCAGGCATCATTTGGATTAACTGCGTCGAATAATCCCTTACTCCTGAGGTCAGTATGCTCCTACCTACATCGGTGTGGTAAACGAGCGGGCGAAGTCCAGAGAGTCCACATGCGGATAATCGTTGCCGAAAGAAACGCATCCAGAAGAAAACATCGCAAAAACACAAATTATGCGCGGACTTACCCAAAAGTTTGCACTGTTGCA